TATTGAGGATACCAAGAGATCCTCGGGATACCAAGAGATCCCTAGCATATATTGAGGATACCCAGAGATCCTCGGGATACCAAGAGATCCCCGGATATACATGTTGAGGATACTAAGAGATCCTCGGGATACTGAGAGATCCCCGGTTATTATCCTTGTGATTGTTTGCCTCTGTATCAGTTGTAGTTGTCTTATATCCTGTGATATTTTTACTGTTGCACTTTTTTATATTGCCCTTATCTACACTGTCGAACTTTATATTATTATTTAATCTCAATAGGGCCCTGACCTTCCTCGTCACTACCCGACCGAGGTTAGGCTTGGCACTTACTGAGTACCGCTGTGGTGTACTCATGCCCTTCCTGCGCATGTTTTGTCATGTGCAGATCCAGGTACCTCTACTCAGACTTACCATCCTTGAGGCGAGGCGATTTTACGGAGACTTCGAGGTATATCTGCCGCGTCCGCAGACCGAGGAGTCTCTCTTCATTCTCTCTTATAGTGATTAGCCCTTCTATCTTTACTGTTGATGTAGACTTTCCGGAGTTAGAGCATTTTACTATATTCATAGCTTGTGATTCATGGGTTTCCGAGTTTTGGGAACATGTATTAGTTTTGAGAGTTAACGTTGTGTATGCCAGGCGGCACTCTTAAACGTTGTTTATTTACTCTATCTCTGTTTTAACTTATATTTCTTCCGCAAAATTGGTTTATTTTTCCGCATTTTAGGCTTACCTAGTCGTAGATACTAGGTGCCGTCACGATGGTTCACGGAGGTCGAACCGAGGTCATGACATTTTCCCTCTGTATGTCCCCCTCCCGTTACTACTTGTCCAGTTTCTATTTGTTGTTATTTTGGTACATATACTGTTACATTGCACAGGTTTATTATGTAGGTGTCTTGTCATAGCCTCGTCACTACTTCGCCGAGGTTAGGCTCGACACCTACCAGTACATGGGGTCGGTTGTACTGATGTTACACTCTGCACTCATTGTGCAGATTTTGGTATCGGCCCTAGCTGATCGTGAGGTTAGCAGCTGGATTGCTTGATAGGAGACCCAAGGTATATCTGTTGACGTCCGCAGACCCTTCCCAGTCTTATTGTTTTACTGTTTCTTTTATTTCAGAACAATGTATTTCCTTTCAGACTCTGTTTGTAGTAAATCACAGTAGCTCGTGAGTTGTGACTCCAGATCGTAAATGTAACAGATATTATGGGTTTTATGTTATTCTGCAAATTAGTTTTAGCTTCTGTTAGCTTAATTGTTCTTGTTATTGAAATTGGCTAAGTTGGCATTAAAATCATCTAACGTTTGGCTTGCCTAGAAAGTAAAATTTTAGGCGCCATTACGGTCCCGACGGTAGGAATTTCGGGTCGCGATGATGGATGACTTTCTTTCTTTTAATAATAGATAGATTGTGCTGCAACTTTACCCAAAAAAAGAAAATCCATAACCAACTTCCTCAAAGTCATGGGAGTGCATGAAGTAGTGTAACGACCTGGCCGGTCGTTTTGAGAATTAATGCCCCGATCTCCTATTAACTGCTTCCCCCATATCTATTTCTTCTATTGTGACTTGCTGGGGTGATTCGTTTTGAGTTTGGAGTGTTTTAGGACACTTACTCCCTAAATGAGAGCGTAGGTCTTAGAATTTGGACCGTAGTCAGAATAGTGTGAAGACGACTCCGAAATGAAATTCCGTCGATTCCTAGCTCCGTTGGATGATTTTGGGCTTACGGGCGTGTCTGAATTGTATTTTGGAGGTCTGTAGCTTATTTAGGCTTGAAATGGCGAAAGTCGAATTTTAGGAGTTTTAGGCCGGTAATGGAATTTTTTGATTCCGTAGTGTTAAATATGACTTGTGTGCAAAATTTAAGGTTAATCGGATGTGGTTTGATAGGTTTAGGCATCGGGTGTGGAAATTTGAAGTTTCAATTTCATTAAGTTTGGAGGTGATTTGAAGTCTCGACTAAGTTCGTATGGTGCTTTAGGATTGGTTGGTATGTTTGGTTGAGGTACCAGGGGCCTCGGGTGAGTTTCGGGTGTTTAACGGATCAAATCTTGAAGTTGAGTTGTTGCTGAAGGGATCAGTCATCTGGTATTTCCGCACCTGCGGTGGATGGTCCGCAGGTGCGGCCTCGCAGAAGCGAAGATGAGGCCGCAGATGCGGCCCTGGTCTGGGTAGCCAGGGGTCGCAGGTGCGGTGAAGGCACCGCAGAAGCGGAATCGCACCAGCGGATAGGGAATCGCAGAAGCGGTGGCAGGTCGCAGAAGCTGACATCTTAGCCGCAAAAGTGCATCCGCATATGCGAACGAAGGAGCGCAGGTGCGGACTCTGGATTTTAATGAAAACTCGCATATGCGGAGTCCCAGTCGCAGAAGCAGGACCGCAGGTGCGGTCCTGGGCTTGCAGAAGCGAAAATCGCTGGAAGGCGATTTTTTCGAGAGTTTTTCAGAGGAAATCATTGGGTAACGATTCATAATCCTATTTTGATCATGTTTCATTAATCCATAGTTGTTTTCTTCATTAAATTAAGGAATTGGAGCGAGGAAGTTGGGAAATTGGGGGAAAAGTTCCCCAACCAAAAATCTGAGATTTGAGTGGGATTTAGGCGTCAGATTTGGATGATTTTTGCACGAGTGATCTCGTGAGTGAATGAGTGTTCATAATTTGTGATTTTTATCCGATTCCGAGACGTGGGCCCGGAGAGGATTTTTGGGCGTTTTTCTAATTTCTTGCCTTAGCTTTGATTTCATTAGCTAAATTAGTTGCTTGTAGCTATATTTACATTATGTAATTGATTTGATTAGATTTGGGCCACTCAGAGTTGGATACTCGTGGCAAGAGCATGATTTCGGACTGATTTGAGCTTGGTTCGAGGTAAGTGGCTTGCCTAACCTTGTGTGGGGGAACTCCCCTTAGAATTTGGTACTGTTTGATATATGAGCGCCGTGTACGTGAGGTGACGAGTGCGTACACGGTCTATTTGTTGAAAACCCCGTTTTTATTAAGCAAATATATGTTTTCCTTTAATTGAGCAACACTAGTATATGTAACTATCCTGTTTAGCTTAGGAAAGCATGCCTACGTGCCTTAACTGTCTTAACTGCCTATCTGAACTTTGTGCACCATGCTTAGTGAAAATTACCTGCCTTCTTTGATATGAACTTAGTCTAAACTGTAGAATTCCTTGTTGAAACTGTTGTTTATGTTGATTGAGTTGCATATTTACTTTGGGACTACGGAACGGTATTTCGGGAGATCCCCCTGCACGTTTACGTTTGGGACTACGGGACGGTATCTCGGTAGATCCCCCTATACTGTATATTTACTTTGGGACTATGGAACGGTATTCTGGGAGATCCCCCTGCACATTTACGTTTAGGACTACGAGACGGTATCCGGGAGATCCCCCTGCACATTTACGTTTGGGACTACGGGATGGTATCCCGGGAGATCCCCTGTTGTTATCTCTGTGTACTGAGCTGTTGTTTTTCTGTGATTCATTCTCGTTAAATTTTAGTATCTATCTTTACTGCGATATTTCATTCTGTATTATTTTGTTATATATATACCAGTAGGGCCCTGACCTGATCTCGTCACTATTCGACCGAGGTTAGGCTTAGTATATACTGGGCACCGCTATGGTGTACTCATGCCCTTTCCTGCACATGTTTTTCGTGTGCAGATCCAGGTACCTCACATCAGTTGCATTATCAGTGAGGCGAGACGACTGTAGAGACTTCGAGGTATATGTCGCGTCCGCAGTCCTAGGAATCCCTATCTACTCTTCCTCTAGTTAAAAACTTCTTGAATTTTCTTTTTGCATTAGACTCTGGAGTATGGGAGTACCGTGTCTTTCTTTAGCTTGTGACTTATGACATTCCGGGTTTTGGGAGACTTTACGTACTGTTCGGCAATGATTATTGTATATGTCGAGCGGCATCGCATTTCTTGTTTAAATTTACTTATTAGTTGATAACTTTTATTTTTTCGCTCCTTTTTCCGCAAATGTTAGGCTTACCTAGTCGTAGAGACTAGGTGCCGTCACGACGGTTCACAGAGAGAGAACTAGGATAGTGACAAGTTGGTATCAAGCCACACAGGCATATGCATCCGCGAAACGTAGGGAGAATAAAAATATGAAGTTTATAGGTTACTGTAATCTCATATTATTATATAATAATAATTGGATTAACAGTTATACAAACTGGGTTTCAAAAAATCCATATACAATACTCTAAATTCGCCACTGCGTGCAGGCAGCTACCACACACTTCTATGTACTCCCTCTATATTCAAATTATTTGTTGCTCTCATTTTTCGAAATCAAAATTATCTAATTTTTAATTAATTTAAAATATTATTTCTAAATTAACATGAAAAGAATTGTTAAAAAAGAATCAAAAAAACATGAGAAGAATTGTTACTCGTAGTTTTTTTTTTTTTTTTTGTAATATTTGAATATCTAATTTTAATTTTAAAATATTAAATTAATCTAATTTAATTTAACTTCGTAGGTTAATTAAATTAACTCTAAAAAAGAGAAACATAACAACTAAAAAGAAAAGAATGGAGTATTATATATAGTATAGCTAATAATAGTAATATATTAATTGAAGAGCCAATTAGCCTCTCCATTAAAATATATACAATGATAACCTTTTCATGCACACCAAAAGCAAAGCCAATTGTATTTTTCATTTGCAAAAAGACAATGGAAACCCAACTTATCTTCCCATTTCTAATTTGTCCCTTTTGTTTTAAAATAATCTTCTCAACCACTTCACATAATGAACTAAACAACAATTTATTAAACCTATTTTTGTCCTCAATTTAATTTCTATCAACCCACCGCCAAAACAAACCACGCCCCTTGTCTCATTCTTTCTTTCCCAAAGAAGAAGGTGCTCAAAGATAATTCATCTTCATATATTTAACATTTATTTGTTGCTATTTTTAATATTATTTCATTACCCTAGTGAGAAGCTTCCTCGTGTAGAATAAAATTGATTTATACATTTACAAGAACAAGAGTAATAATATAGAGATATCAAGAAACTACATCAAATAAATAAAAAAGAAAAAAAATCCTATCTTATCTCATCTAAATACGTTGCTCGCAGAACTATAATGCGACAACTTGATCATCATCAAGAAATCCGTGTCCATTCTCAAATTCCTTTCAATCCACACGTCAAAAAATTTAGACTTTCTTTACTGGAAGTCATCAAAGGAGGAATGGACATTTGTTCGGGCTAAGAGTGACATGATCACATATTTGAGAAATGGTGTTGGGAGGGTTGTATCATCTGCAACTCTGTTGTTGTTTGACAAGAGTTATCATCTGCCATCATGGTCCTGTAGTGAAAAAAATGTCATAATATGTTCGAAATCACAAATTCTAAGAGTACTTTTGGTTTAAGACCATAATTTTAAGAATACTAATTTTGGTACGTACGAAACATAATTTTCTTTTTTTTAAACAGCGTGCCTAATAAAATGTACAACCATATAAAATGAAAACAGGAGTATATTGTTCAAAATAATTTTTTTCTATAATATCAGATTATAAGACTTTTACATAGTAAGGGTAAGCATTTACTATTGGTTCTTTCTTCCTTTCTCGCTCTTTTCCTTTTTAGCTTGCTCGTTTTGTATGTAATTGTAAGCATGATTAACAAAAGGGACCATAAAAAGTTTCATGTGCATATATATATATATATATATATATATGACTCTTCAAAAATATTATTATGTTGGATTCGACACAAATTCTCAAAAAATAATATATTTTTAAATACAATCGACATACATACGATAATATTTTGAAAAATCCGAGCAACAACGGATAATATGTTTTTGAACTTACTCTCTCGGACGTGATGCCCATAGGGAACTTAAGGCTCGTAATCGACCATAATATTCCCCTATCACCAAGAAACACCTTGCTGCTTGTCTAACTGTCAATATTCTATGCAATTGATGAAGCGTTTGTTGTCTCAAATTATCAGCCTGAAATTAAATTCAAATGAACAAAAAAGAAGAAGTCAAAATCCTATATTCATTAAGATATATAGCTAGAGACAAGAAAAATATTATTAGTAGAAACATCTTAATCAAACCAAAATAATCAATTAAAAGTTAGAGATGGACCCCCTAAATATCAGGCAAGGAGGGCCTAATCTTTAAATAAAAGTTTCAAATTGGTTGAATTTTTGAAATCATATAAGATGTCTTTGTCTGAGATTTTTGGATTATTCTAATTATTTGGTTAGTAGTAATGTTTCTTTCCATGATTTGGACTAATTTGTTAACGTGATTATAAAATTTTGCTGATAGCTCATGCAAGGGCATTTATTTGCACATCCATCATTTTCAGATCGGAACATATCCAAATAAAATGTAATATGGAGTATTAATTAAGATAATAACTATGACAAATCAAGCAATGCTATATTATAATGATTATTAAAGCGGACCAAGAGAAAAAATAGTGTATCTAAAACTAATCCATACTCTTCCATTATTTGCTCACTATGTTAAAAATATGAAGGTATTTCCTTAGAAGTATATATGAAAAACATAAGTAATAGCAAAACAACAAAGCCATAATTCAAGGGAGGGGCATCTTTAAATGCATTAAATTGCCAATTATTGTTATAGTGGGGACCAATGTATTAGGAATTTAATCAAGCACCTTTTAGTGGAACTACAAGACATTGTTTTGACAACAACCAAATAGATCTTATATAAAGTAGAGGTCATTTTCAATTGAGTTTAATTTTTGCGCAATGACGACGGTATATAAATTTATTATAACGATCAGATTAAGTAGATCTAACAGTAACTAATAAGAAAACAAGGATGATAAATAACACGAATTAATAGAGTAATAATATAGTATAGTAGATAAAATTATATTGGTATTATAATTTTTTTTTATCAGCGTATATATAACTTAAATCCTATTGCTTCAAGACAAGTGCTCCGAGAAGGATTCCTCTCTTTTCTAGTAGGTAAAAAGGTAGTCCTGCAAAGAGAAAAATGTCCCTACCAATGGAATATTTTTTTTTAATCATCCTTTATATATTATAGAATCAAGATTAAAAAGGGCATTTAGATTCTACTTTTTTCAAATGAAATCCCAATCAAATGGTCAAGTTATCACGGTTTCAAAAGTGAGAAAACCTAATTATAGACGTTTTATATATAGACCACAAATTGTTCATTGACATGACCACCTACAAAGTACTTTTGGAATCTTTAGCCATACTATGAAACAAAGCAAAGTGAAAAGATTTTAAAGTGATGATATCTATATATAACCAAAAAAAAGGATTAAAACAGAAATAAATTGTCTTGTCCTAGTCCTTTCCTCATCTTAATTTCTTTTTTCCCCATCCCCCATCAAATAAGGCACAAAAATAACTCAATGAGAATAGACATTGGCATAAGTTTAAACTTTCTAGTGGGAGACCAAGGTGATAAAAAGAGAGAAAGCTTACGATTCTATAAGAAAATTGCCTTTCATCAGTTTAATTAGGTGGATGGTTATTTATATCATACCAGTTTTGTACATTGCTTTATAAACTGCTATACCTAAATTTACCATTTTCTTTATTCAAAAGGCTACAAAAAAAGTGTATATTTGAATACCACCTTAACATTTTATAGAAAGTTTGTATGACAGTGAAATAAATTAAAGGATCATGTGACAGTGGAATACGAGCTTCATATTAGTACTGCACTTACACAGCCAAGACCCTTTTTACTTTTGATCATACCATATACTCCGTTCCATTCCATTTTATATAACGATATTTAATTAATTGTGCACAAAATTTAAGAAAGTAAGAAAGACGTTGTACATAATTTTACCTGGCGAACGAAGCCTTCGAGATTGGCAAGCTTGCCTAAGGCAAGAGCCATATGATGCATACCATCATTGAGAGAACCATTGGCAACAGTTTCAATTAGAGATTGTTGTAATTGTTCCAAACCCTGTGAAAGTGCTTCTTCTGCCTGTTGGGATGATTGCTGCAGACTGTAAATTCCAACAACTTGCTGCTGCGTTAACGGGTCCAATTGTGCTATCAACATCTGATCAAAGATCATATCTTTAGCTTGCAACAAGCAGAGCAAATTTGGTTTTCCAGCTAGAGTTAATAACTTCTATACTCTTACCATATAAATTTTTTTTTGACACAATCAGGTCATTTATAAGATAATTATAAAAAATTCTCATAATATAACCGAAATTAGTAATAGGTAAAATAAGACTATTACCCTTCTATAGCAAGTTAAATTGCGTTGATAGCATAGTTTTTTTTAACATTTTCAGAGCATATAAGTTACACCCTTCCCGTAATTTAAAAATATAATTAACCCCATATATAAAGATTATAATTTTATATACTGATGTTTGTAAGAATTTTTACACTATCAAGTCATTTATAATATAATTACACGTAACAATTGTCATAGAAGACGAGACTAGTAACCTTGAAGATAAGGCAAACTGTCTGCTACAATATAAAGAAAATGGCAGCTCAATGCACTAAACTCCCGCTGTGCGCGGGGTCCGGGGAAGGGCTGGACCACAAAGGTCTATTGTACGCGGCCTTATCCTGCATTTTTGCAAGAGGCTATTTCTACGGTTCGAACACGTGACCTTCTGGTCACATGACAGTAACTCTACCGGTTCTATTACAATATACTCCTATTATTACAGTAATAGCGTAATTGTTTTAATACTTCCGTCGTAGATATGTTCAAACTATATGTAAAACATCCTCCATCTTAAACATGAAATACTGAAATCCTTACCTTGATCAGCTCAGAGGGTCTGAAACCACCCATCCAAAGGAAGCAACGTTCAGCTGGGGTAGTCCACATTCCAGTGATGAGATGAAATACATCAGATTTAGCTGCAACTCCTTTGAGTTGGAATATTTCATCGTAATGAGCAATATATCCATCTACAATTATTCTAAGATCACCATCTCCTAAATGTGCTTGCAATGCAGTTCGAAGCTCGGAAATGTGCCTTTGATCATCATCTAACCATCTTGAATATTCCATGTCAAATATTGCAGCACCTGCTATAAATACTTTGTCACTATAGTTATTTTAAGGAACACATATTGTCCCATGCAGTGTATATTAGCATGCAAATACTAAGATGCCATTTTACAAGTCTATTGTCATATTTACCCTTATCATATAGTAGTATTAATTTTTCTCATTTTATAGGTGCACCCAATATTGCACCGTAGCGAAGCCAGGAATTTACTCAGGGGTATTCAAACTTGAAAGAAGTGAAAAACTTCTCTGAGAAAGAGTGTTCAATATATGTTATATACCTCTAAAATCTAATATTTTCTCTATATAGGCAATGTAGTTTACCGAGCAACATGTAGCTTCGCCCATGCCAGAGCAATCCTTGTGCATGGATGCACACACATATATTTAAGTAAATTTGAAAAAATATAACATTATTGAGGAACATAGGTTCACGTGAACCCATATCTTAAGACCTAGATACACCCTATGTGTCTTGGTCTTTTTTATTTTAATATTTCATTTTGTTAGAATGTACACTATTGCAAAAGCATTGAAAAAGATAACACGAACAAGCTCAGGATTGAAAGTAAGCCTTTTTTGCAAAATTTAGTTGATATTAGGACATGTTTAACAATTTTGAAAACAAATGTACTTGCTAATAAATCTTGACACGTTATTATACCTAAAACAGATAATTTGCTGTGGTCAAAGGATAGAGTACTTTTTTCTTCAGTCCAATTCAGAAACCAAGAATTACAAGCTTTGACCTGAAAAAATGGCTCTATTGACTGAAACTTGCAGTTCTGAAAATTCAGATTTTGGGTGCTGCCTATTGTCAAAACTGTAAAAACTTTATCTTAGATGTCACTATCAAGATTGACCAATTTCATCTCTTTGTTTCATAGCATTAATATATTAACTCTATATCTACCGTATACGAACTGCCACCCACCACAAGTTTATATTTATATTTTGTTTAATAGGAGTATAGAATAAGAGAGTAGCACAACTTCTATACACCCAAAAAAAACCAAAAATAGTTTGCCGAGGCGATTAAAAAAGTTTAAACTTTACCAGAGCTGATATTAGCACCAGCAGCCGCACCACCTCCCATGAAAAGCCCCTGGTTGACACAACCAATCAACATGAAAAAATCTATTAATTAAATTCCCACTTGAATTTAGGATATGTTTAGTCAGACAAAAATAATTTAATCAAATATTAGAAAAATAATTTTCTCGTGAAAATACTTTTGATAATTTTCGTCATACCAAACACATCCATATTCGGTAAAGAAAGAGTGAGTCATTTTCAACCTGAGATCTAGCCCTCTGAAGTTCTTGTTCTAGCTGAGCAAGTCTTATCCTACTTGTTTCTAGCTGTTGTACATAAGCCTGCACATACCCAAATTTAACTATGTAAAATATAATAATATGCAGAGCAGCTTCAGATTTCATAGCTGAAAGGAAGGGTAATTTATTTTTACCTTTTTTCTTAGTCTGCTTTTCCTTGCTGCTTCTCTATTTTGAGCTAAACGTCTCAAAGTCTGCAGTGAACAAAATTAACATAACTTTAAGAAATCTATTACTAAACAATTAAATTAAAATTATTAAAACATAATAATAGTAATAATAATACTACTAATTAATAATAACATAATAAAGGGTCCACTGAGGGAACAAGATAAATTAAAGATGGATAATATAATGGTGGCACCACCTTTGCATCAACCACCCTATCTGAGGTTGAACCAACACCCTTTCTCTGCCAAAAAAAAAAAAAAAATTAAAAAAAAATTAAAAAAAATTATATTATGTAAATTAATGTAGTGGATTAACATGAAAAGTAAACACTTCTAACAGAAAATTTCTGCAATTGCGTGAAGTTAGAATTTTTCTCCTTATCTTCACCTTTTTTATATTCTTAGAAATTAAATAAGAGGTATAACGTGTCAAAAATGGCAGGTATCTTTTGGAAGACTTTATGATATTTGACTAAAATCAATTTGTAATTATATAAATAAATTGTTCAGACTGTAGTCACATATACTATATTTTGTTTCCGGAAAAGAATAAAATATATATATATCTGATGATGTTAACATGAGCAAATCCATTAAATTACCTGGCATTCTTCTGGATTTGGTTTCTCTACTCCCAAGAAAGATTAAAGGACAAGGAGTTAACTACAGTTCTGGGGATGGTAATAGATGACCATTATGAACTAGTATAACTTAAACTACAGTTCTAAAAGTTAGTCATAGAAAAACCATTTGTTTTTTAAAAGAAAAAAAGTTGTTGTTACTGTGAAGATACTCTTTTTCCCTTATCTCTTGTCAGAATATAAATCAGAAAACTCTGCCCTTTAGTTTGTTTTCTTGGCACTTGTTGGAATTTCTGATTTTTTATTATATAGAAAAACAGTTAAAATTAAGGCCCCCTAGCTATTTCTCATTTTGAAGGGAAAAAAAAGAACCTTTTCATAGTTGGGTTTTGAAGCTGGCTCAGTATGTGAAACTACTGTTCTTGGACTATCACTTGCCATTTCTTGAAGTTGTTGTTGTTGATGTGGTATCTGAAGTTTCTGTTCAAGGGACTGGTAAGCTGAAGATGGTTTTCCACTGATAGGAGATTCTGGTTCCAAATGAGGTTCACCTCTGCTTGAAAAAGCGTTTAGTGCTGAACCTGAATCACTACTCTCTTCTCCTCCTGATTTTGAGCTTCCCTGTACGCAAAGACGAATTTAAGTTGTATGTACTCACGATGCAAAAGATATTCATATAATCATGTCATTTATCAATATAATAAATTGTCATTAGTAACTTAATAAAAACTTTAATCAGTGGTGAATCAGGAATTTCCTCAATTTTGAAAGAAGCAAAAAAATGTATCGACAATATGATATTTATCTCTAAAATCTAATATTTTACCTATAAGACATGTAGCTTCCCATGTGACATTAACTTACATATTAAACTACACTGATTCAGTAAAAAAATATTACAGTTTCAGGCTATATAACTTAAGTTAGCTTTGAAAATCTCAGAAGCTCCATTACCAACCTTCCAAAATCAACTGAAATGAAAAATCAATAAGTTTGATGAGAAAGAGAAGTTAAAAAAGAGTTTCCTATTATGGTTAAAAGTTGAGGCTATAATAGTACGGTAAAAATGGCCAAGAGGAATTAATTGGGGGGTGTATAGATATACTCTTGGGGTGTGATGGAATCTCGTAGGCCAAGAAGGGAACATCTCCAGAGTTGCAGCAGGTCTGTTTGTAGCTGCATATAAAGCTGCACAGAATCACAAAAGCGAAATCTCTCAACATCAGCACAATGAAAAATAAAAACAAACAAATTAAAGAGAAAGTAACAAAAAGACTTCCTTTTTTTTTTCTTTTCTTTTGGTAGCAGCAGTTATGGAGTCAGTAAATCATGCAAAGAGTTCAAGTTTCCTTATATTTAACCCCACGCCATTCAACTATTTGACATATGAATGATTACTGTATTGGAAATAGTAAGCTTCTTACAGAGGACATATTCAAACAACACTACTCTTTCATTGCGCTCTCTCTCTCTCTCTCTCTGCTTTTTTTAGCATAAGGAGTTGGTTACACTTTGCAAACGTCAGAAAACAAAAGAAAGAGAGAAAAAAAGCATACATGCTTTAGCTGCTTCATCATTGCTCATCTTAACTCCTTGTAACACAATAGCTTCCTCTAACTCCCCAAAATCAAAAGCTGGCGGTTCTTGATTACTACACATGAATTGTCAAAAAAACAAAAAAGAACCCCATGTTACAAATTGCAAGAAAAATCCTCATATACAAAGAGGCAACAACAACAACTACACAGGCGCGGCCTTACCCTACCTTGGGAAGGTAGAAATCGAGCCTGTTTTCGATAGACACTCGGCTCAAGAAAGATAAGAAATACCTCATATACAAAGAGGAAAATACAGAATTTTCAAGAGCTAAAAAAAAGATTCTTACTTTGGAGTGGAATGATACATGAAACTTGTATTAGGAGGATTTAGGCCACGAAAAAGTGCATAAGACATATTGTGATGGTGGTGTGAAGGTCCAGATTCAGCTGACAAACTACCACTCTCTCCTATTTTTTGACTCTCCATGCAAACAACTTTCAGACCATTCTTCAGCTTCCTGATCAAAAGGAAAAAAAACTACAACATATCATTTGATAATACACATATTAGATTATAGCTTTGAAAAAATGAAAAAGTAAAACAAGAAAATTACCTGTTTCACCTCAGTTTTAAGGATCTTTTTAAAAAGACCAACTCTTTCTTCAGAAACAAGAGACTAAAGGGTAAAGAAAGAAGCTATAAAGATCAAAGCCTTTTCTAGTCAAAGCATATATATATGTAGCTATATGAAGCCACAACAAAAAGAGGGTCCAAAGTATATTTCTCAAAACATGTGTTTTTCTTTACTAAGTTTGTGTTGCTATTTGTATCTCTCTTGTTGTGGATATGGCAAAGCTAGGCACTTTTTGATAGTATTTCTTTCATGGGGTCTTTATCTAAGAAATCAGATTTCTTTTCTCTACTTCCAAGAAGAGAACTGTCTGATTATTCTGTTTGATGGTAGGGGTGTTGCCTTTTTATGATATCTCCCTCCTGTTGTTATCACACAAGTAATTATTGTATCAAATTTTGAAACTCACCTATTGGTACAATAATATCTCTTGTACTTTGCTACTGCAAACCTCTCTCTCTCTCAGGCCTTTTGTGGGGTTGGAAAAAATATATAAAAAAATAATAATATTTTATTTCATATAAAAAACAACATTTTGTACATGAAGAAAAAAAAAACAAGAAAATGGGGGTAGGGACTTTGGCAGGAACCCACTAGAATCAGTGACTTCAACTCCACTCTCTCTCTCTCTCTAACCGCCTGTGTTTTCTTATTGGCCCCTTTTGTAAGAACCCTTCAGAGTTGCAAGTACTAGCCACATAAAAAAGAATAAAATATTTTTTACAACCAAAATCTGTTTGTATTATTTTGAATAAGAATGAGACAAAGTTTTCTTTCACAAAAAGTATGATAATAAAGCTGGAGAAGAAGGTTTACAGTTGTTCCCTTGCTTTAAATGTAGTGCATATATATTGACTTCTAATATAGTAACATAAGGCTAATGTGAAGTGAAGTGAAAAATTTGAGTCTGTAAAAACTGATTTTTTTCTATATTAACATTTTATGAAACTTTAGTGGGCGTTTGGAAATAAGAATTATACAATTCTGAAAAAAAATAATTTTTTTTCAAGTGAAAATAGTATTTGAAAATTAGAGTTATGTTTGGATATGAAAATAATTTTGGGCTGTTTTTAAATTTGTGAGTGATCTTAAGTGAAAATTTTGAAAAACAACTTTTTGGAGTTTTTCAAATTTTTGACAAACTCTGAAATTCATCTCCAAGTGAAAATTAAAAATTTATGGCCAAACACTGATCTCGAAAAAAAGTGAATTTTTTTTTTATGGCCAACCGGGTCCTTAGTTTTTGCAAAACATATCTTTAAACTTTATGAACGGTTGGGAGTAATGCCCTTACGAAAGAATGTGTAAGAGTTTTGATAATCGAGAAATCATAGAGGGTCAATAACTTACTATTCGTAACTTGGTGGATAATTGGTCCCGGCATACCTCTACCTTCTTCACAGAATGGAGGGGAAATTTTAATTTTTGGATTTAGCTAATTAAACCAAATCTTGTTAAATGGAGAAGGCACTGCAACTTGTGTTCTATAATTAATTAATCAAGGGTTTGAAATGGATTTGTTTGGTATTATCCTTTTTGTTGATAGGTCAACATCTAAACCCTGTCATCTCCTAAAACCATGCCACACCAAGATCCTTTTCCCTTATTAGAAATTTGTTTCATCAACTCTCCCTTGATCACAAGTCCATAGCAGAGTGGACTTTACCATTTTAGTATTATCGATAATTCATAATTAGGGTCCCTTGTGTGGACTACAATGCGCTTGCCTCTATTATTCCAAAAAATGAATATAAAAGCGATAGATATTCGATATTAAATCTAAGGCTGGTTCACTGGAGAATATTATTTATCATATCATGGTTCGAGCCTTCGAGATAAATTTTGTGTCAACACTAGCTAACGGCTCATAATATTTACCATATGTCATTAATAAGGGGCACATAAGCACTTGGGATTGCAGCCTAAGATCGATATATGACAAGGATCAAGAGAGATCGTGTTGTTGCATAGCTAAGGTCGGAGCAAGGTGCAATCGGAGGTTCAACAGGTACTCTCACGATCTCTTCCATTATGTAAGTTCTTTGACAACACTTTTTTTTTTTTGGTTTTGACCTTCAAATAGGTGCAACTTTGATCATTACTCTTTGTGAAATTGAATAACATTATTGTTAGTCATCTAAATTTATATTCAAGACAAATTTGTGATAATAAAAAAGTTACGGTATCTTTGAAAATTCTTGATTTTATAGACGGGCTCACATGGCATGATATGAACAATGAAAATTTATATAACCGAACTCAATTTGCTTGAAGTTAAAGCGTACTTATTGTATCTCTAATTGTAATTCTTTATTAGTTGTCAAATTATGCAGGTACTCCATATTGAGGATAGAGAGAAGAGAATTTTTGCAATAAGTTCATTTGGTGGGGAGAGGGTGTTTGAATATACAAATATATAAAATGTTTTATTCATCAACCACCTTTTGTAGCTAGCTATTGTGCCCCTACCAATAATTCCTTCTTAAAAACTAATCATTGGACATACCAAGAAAAAGGTTTGGGTCCAAAAAGGGAGAGAATTTCCAATGGATTAGGTATGCATGCAATTGAGTGCTAATAACTTTTTTTATTCTAACTCCATGAACCTCAAAGGAAAATGTTTATAGATATAAGAGTTTCCCTTGGGATAATATCTAAACAATCCCTCTGAAAATATAGGCTACTTGTTTATACTTAGCTTGCTTCTCTGTCTTTGGAAGTTGATTGGTTTGGATCATATCTTAATGACATTATTCTATGGTTTCACAAATCTTGTCAGGTTAAGTAATTAAGTCATTGCTTGTCACTTAAGCATGGAACTTAGTACTAAATATTTATTAGTTGCTTCTTATGTTAGGTATAATTAAAAAAATATCCTTGCTTAATCTCTATTATTTTTTCACTAATTTCAATCTTGCATCTAAACTTATCCAACCTAATGGATAATCCAAACATAGAAGCCTCCTACTCCAGCAATTCCTCAATCCTGACAACAACAATAACTACGTCACAAACCCAAGCTAATTAGAACTGTCAACTTTGTCTGTTTGAGTTTGATTACATTTTGAGTCCCAAACCATCAGTATTGAAAAATTGATTTTTGCTACAAAGTTCGTCGCTAAATCGCTTGTAGCTAACATATTTTTGATAATTCGTTGCTAATCTGTTACTGATTTCTATTTTTTTTAGTAATGCATATGCAGTAGGTTGACAATCAACTTAGAACTTTTCTCCATAATATTGAGGCCTCAATCCAGAAACAAGAAAGAAAAAAAATCCTAGCTCTCCTAATGGGAAATAAAAAAAAGAAATTATAAGTGTGCTCTTTTGTAGTGAAAAAACAAGCTCTTTCCAATTTAGGAAAATTGATATTTTTTTTTACTTTAAAAGTCAAGAAGATTAATGTTAATGATGAACCAAAAGTAGAAAAAATAAAATCGTAATGAACATCATTGCAATAAGAAGTGAGAAAAAGGCCATGATGTCTTGTCCAAGAAATTTTCCACATAATTTTGATGATTGCTTTCTTGACTCTCAAACTAGTTCAAAAATTTCAAAATATTACTCGTTCAAATCATTAATATAGTTACATGGTCAGAATATTACATATATAAAATTCTACACCAAAATGGCACTTGTAAAGTGGATTTTTTAGTGATTCTTTTTTACTCTTTGAACAAGTCTACAAAGCAGTTGAAATTGCAGGAATTTCTGACACTTGAAAATCTCAGTACAATTAATTTATGGATTTTAAGATTTGCAGGCCATGGTTCATGCATATGGGGTTTGATTTAGGAAACTAATTAATCTCCTAAACTAATCAAAATTGTGAGGCAACCCCTGTTAAAAATTCCTCTCAATATGACTTTTGGGCATTGTTTGTATTTTTCTTTAAAAAAAAGATTATTTAGAGCTTATTTGTTCATCAAGAAAATTAGGAGGATTAAATCAAACTTCTCTATATGATTTCTCACTCCCTCTCTCCTGAGGAAATATTGGAGTAGCAGGGCAGGATTTTATCTTAAAATATCCCTTGTGTTTGACTCAAAAGTTGTTTAACACTTTTTAAGCAAATCAATCAATATAGATGAAGGGGTAAATCATAATCGAAGATAATAAACCCTAGGATGATCTTGGCAATTGGTTCAGACAACAATAGTACAAATCGGAGAGAGAGGATGATAATCTTCGAGAGATAATGTTAGAGAGATTGTATTTCCAATATTGAAAATCCCCCCCCCCCCCCCCTTACAAGGCTCGGACCCCTCTTTATATAATAGAGGATCCTTACTTGAATATTAAAAGACAGAAATAAAGTACATGCTATAGAGGGGCCGACGTGATCATGAAGTCGTCCCTCTTATTATTCCTAGGTCGTCCTTCTAGCCGGACTCACATATATTCGGTCGGTCGTGCTGGCTTAGGGACGTGGTCGGTCAAATTCGACCCCATACAGTTAGTCCCTCCGCTCGTCGGGGTCGCAGTGAATGCGTCCTCGATGGGCGGAATCGGTACCTCCGTTCTGGGAGAGTTTGACTTTGTCAATGAATTGTGACGTGACAGGCAGGAGACAGTAATCATGACTGTCAGAGCGTCGAAGCGAAACGCCTTTCCCCGTGTGACGTCAGCGTTCGTATGCATCATCATTGCGCGTATTCTCGAGGCAGGAAATCAAAAGCTTTTGGCGCCTGGTTTCCCGTGCCGATTCGACGTCTATCTCTTCGATTTTGGCGCCACCCAACCCTATAAATAGGAGAAGGGTTTAACTCTATTCAAACTTTGGTCATTTGTAAGAGCATTCCAACTCTTCAGTGTATATTTTCACATTCTGGTGCATTTTCTTTCGATCGAAACTCTCTTTTTTTCTTTGTTGGGTTGTGCACAACTTTTTCTTCACCGAGATCATGCCTAAACCTCGCCGAAGCGACAAGAGGGTCCCGGCGGCTGCCCCATTGAACGTGCCGCCATCTTCCGATGGTGGAGAAGTGGAGAGGGAAGAGGACGTCAGTCCTCTTACTGTGGAGGCATTATTGCCAAAGCATATCTTATCTCGAAGTGATTTCAGTAAGGACTCTCCCATTCTGGCTCCAGAGTTTTTTGAGTCGTTATAGAATCACTTGGATGACCTCCGCGTGAAATACGACATACCCGCCCACGTAGAGATGGTTCCGGCGGGGAGGGATCACGTGGATGTTCATAGGCCAGGGTATTGTGCCTTTTATGAATACCCCTTTCGATTGGTTACAGCCTCCCTCTTTTCCCTTTGGCGGAGGAGTTCTTTCGGTTCTATAACGTGTGTCCGGCTCAACTTACGCCGTATACTCTGAAGGTGCTTCGACTGCTGACCAAGTACGCGGAGTTGGCCGGATGTGAAGTCACGGTCCATCACCTCCTACAACTGTTCAGTGCCTGCTATCTAAAAGGGACCATGGTGCATTTGAG